CGTAGCATCACCATGAGCAGCCAGGGCAAAGCCGATGCCGAGACCCAGCAGCAGCTGCCTGCTGAGCCTCAGCCCTTTATGATGGAGACATAAAGCTGATCGCGACCAAGGTTCAAGGAATTGTTAAATGGTTCAACGTCAAGATCAGAAACACCTTTATCAGCCAACAAGACACCAAGAGGACGTATTTGTCCATCACACTGCCATTCAGAACCACAACCCCAGGAAGCACCTGCCCAGCCTAGGAGATGGCGAGACCATGGAGTTTGACGTGGTGGAGGGCCAGAAGAGTATGCAGGCCACCAGCGTTATAGGCCCCCAAGGAGCTGCAGTGCAGGAAGCAGATATGTGGTCGAGTGGGGCCTTTCCCGGTGCCATCCTCAACAAAGGGCTCCTTGGCGCCATCTCCCACAGGGTCACCTCACCAGCGACACTGAAGGCTCTGACAACACTTGGGAAGGCCAGGCCCAACCTCGCTGGCCTCAAGGCTGCCCAAGGCTGCCACGATGCTACCTGCGGAGACCCTACTGCCATAGAAGATAGGAGTCCCACACTCTGGTGTGGGGTGAACAGGTGGATGGTGCCCATGGCCTGGCTGCAAGCAAGCCCCAAGTGCACACCCAAGACCAGGGAGAAGACACCCAAGGCCACCAGCCGCCTCTCAGGCGCTCCCCATGCAGCAGGCCATACAGTCCTAAACACCAAGATGGCACACAGGCCAGGGCTGCCCAGCATGCTGCTGACCATCCACCTGCTCCCCAAGCAGTGTAAGGGAGTCCTGCTTCACATTGTCACCACCGTCCCCTTCACTCACCCAATAACCAAGGAATCTGACATGCAACCCAGAGAGAACAACATAGTTCTGATTATTCTTTGGCAACTAAACCAAGACTGTTATGACATGCTTTAGGCACATGAGTTTTACACAAGGCTGTTCAGGTTGAGATCATGAAAACTGGAGAGATCAAATGCACTACTCTCTGTCATCAAAGACACACAGTGTATTCTGTGACTGGTGGAATTAGAAAACACAAACTGTGAACAGAAGATTTCAGTAAGCAAGAGGAAACTGAACTAACAGCTTTCAAAACAAGATCCAATGGGAAGTGCTTTGCACTTTCTAGAGACTGATGAAACTGTGAAGTGTCCACAAGAACAGGTGAACAAAATCCTAACAAGGTCTTTAAACTTCTCACAACTGGTTTCAGGACTATCTATAGAACCCCTAGATAGTCTAATCACTGGAACACAGCAGACAAATACTTGCTTGATTGTGGGCGTGGAATCGGAGGGGGAGAAGGGTTGAGAGAAAGTAGGTATTTTGGGGGGGGGGGGGCAAGCACTGTGACACAGCTGGTCAAGCAGCCATCTTCTGGGATGCCAGCATCCCATCTGAGCACTGAATCTAGTCCCAGCTTCTGCTCTTGCAACCCAGCTCCCTGCTCATGTGCATGAACAAGCAGGAGAGGGTGGACTAGGTGCTTGGGCCTATGTTCAGCACGTGGGAGATATGGATGAAGCTCCTGACCGCTGGCTTCACACTGGCCCAGCTGAGGCCCTTGCCACCATTTCAGGAGTGAACCAGCAGATGAGTATCTGTGTGTCTCCTCTCTCTCTAATTCTGCCTTTCAAATAAATACCTCCCCTACCAAGATCTATATATTTTATAATTTAAGAGGCAACTTTTCAGAAATAGTAGGAGAGATTTAAATCATCTGTCTTCTGGTTCACTCCCCAAATGGCTTCAACAGCCAGACCTGGAGGAGTCTGAAGCCAGGAGCCCGGAACTTCCTCTTAGTCTCACCCCATGGATGCAAGGGCCCAAGGACTTGAATCACCCTCTGTTGCTTTCTCAGGCACATCAGCAGGGAGCTGGTGGGAACTGGAGCTGCTATGACTCAAATTGGCTCCCACGTGGGAATGCTGGTGCTGCAGGGCAGGCTCCACAGCACTGGTCCCAAATATCTTTAATAAACATTTACATGCAAAACACAGGACAAGGCATCAACAGGTACGGCTCAATGTCTAGGCTCCTCAAGGGAGGAAAGTAGTAACCTTTTTTCCATCACTGATTGGTTTTAATTTGAAATGCAAAGTGACAACAGAGAAGGAAGCAGAGACAGAGTAGCATCTTTCCGTGCTCTGGTTCACTCTCTAAATGACTGCAATGTTCAGCGCTGAGCCAATCCAAAGACAAACCAGGGCCTCCTTCACGTGTCCCATGCCGGAATGGGAGCCCAAGGCCTTGAGCCATCATCTGCCTCTTCCCCGGGACATCAGGAGAGACCTAGATTGCAAGTGCAGCAGCTGAGACAACTGGCATTCAAATGGGATGCCAGTGCAGCAGGCTAGACTTACTCCACTATACCACAGGATGCCCTCTCCCCGACTGGACTTTAAATCCAAAGGTTGATGAAGGGTACAGATTTCATCACTTCTTCTGTACTCACTTCCTGTTGATTGAGGTGTAGGGCTTGCCTATCCATTCTTTGGAACTCTTTCCTGTATGGATCCCTTTCATGAGTTGGAGAACTTTCTCTCAGTGTTAAGGACTATGTCCCCTGCATCTTCTTCATTACTTTGAGACATTGTTGCCTTCTTTGCACAAGAGTCAGCAATGTAGTTGGTCCTGATCATGCAGTGTGTTCATAGAGGCCAAAACATGTACCCACAGTTCTGGTTCCTGAGACAGCAGAGGCCGATGTGTCTGAGGGCAGCATGAGATGAAAGGACTGTTTGCTGACACCAAAATCCATTGGTGGGCCTTCCCCTGCAATAGCAGCTGCAGTTAGCTGGCCCACAGAGGCTCTTGAGAACTCTTTCCCAGCCCGCCCCCTTCTTTAGCTCTCACACACATGCACATGTGGTATCACCTGGTCTGAAAAGGCCACAGTACTGGATCTCTTTCCTTCCCCGCCCTCCTGCACTGCCCCTGCCCTGTCCACACCCAGCCCAGATACTTGCACAAATCTATAGATGCAGTCGCCTGGCTCGAGAAGTCCATGGTCTCAGTGCTGCATATGTGAAAGTGTCTGGCTAGGCCACTATGCAGCACTGATTGGTTCAAGCAAGAGGCAGGACTGGGTGCAGACCAGGTTGCGCTGGGCTACATAGGTGCCAGTTCACAAAAGAGCCTGGGCTGAGGGTGGTTGTTGCACCTCCCATTGGGAGCTGTGACGGGGGGCAGATTGGATTGAGCCAGGCTGAAGCACCTGCTAATAAATGCTGAAACAGGAGGCAAGTAATGCCAGACTGGGCTGCAGCCCCTGTTGATGCCTACAAGCCCTGGGGTAGGACAAATGCTTGGCAGAAGTACTTTGTGAACTCCACTGCTGGCTGCTACTTCCACTGTGAGTATGAGATCTGGACTAGGGATAGCCTCATCCAGGACTGTAGCTTCTGTTGGCCAGAAAATGTGCTGGGTCTAGGGACTGTCTAGGCTCAACCAGGCTGCTGAGCTACTCATCTGTGCAAGCCAAATAATCCAGTGTAGGCTGTGTGGACTAGGCCGCAACACCTGCTGACAAATGCCATGGCACTGAGGGTTGGAAGTGTCAGGCTGGATCACAGTACCTCCTGCTTCTGGGCCTGGGAGTGAGCATGGTATGGAATCTGTGGTTATTTCCCTGCTAGATTTCAGCTCCAACTGGTGAGCACCAGAGCCAGGGCTGGGACAGGCCAGTTGGCCTCCTGCTGGCATGTATGTAGTCTGGGTCTAGGGTTGGATCTAGCTGAGCTAAGCCATATCAGCCATGAGTGTGCATGAGGGATGGATGAGATGTGGGACACAACTGCACACTAACTAGTGTGTATATCAGGTTGGGAGAGACAGTGCGAGAGAGGGAGAAAGAACGAAGCAGATATCTTACTTTTCCTGATTTACTCCCTAAATGGCCAGTGGCCTGGGTTAAACCAGGCCTAAGCCGCGAGAGAGGAGTTAAGAGACCTAATGCTCTTTATCACAATACCTGCCCCTCCTTTTTCTTTTAATTGGTCTTTTTTAGTGGTAGGTATCCATTTTAAGTCTGTTTTATATATATGTGTGTACTTACACATATCCATATCAGAGATCAGCTTTTTGATACATATATCAATACTGTGTGTGTCAAGTCCAATAATACTCTGCATGAATGATTATCTTAAATCACAATCTTAAACAAATTAACAGATGAATAGTAAGAATTTTTCTTCTGAATTACAATTTTCCACATAAAATCTTTTAGAGGAAGAAGGTTACTATTGTATTACAAGAAAAGGTGCCTTTTAAAAAATGATACATTTATGTATTTTAAAGTCAGAGTTATCAAAAAGACACAAATATTTTCTACCAACTTGTTTACCCCCAGAATGGCCACAACAGGCCAAGAGCCCAAAACCCCGTTTATTCATTTGATGTGGGTGTGAGGGATCCGAGCACTCAGACCTTCATCTGCTGCTGTTCCAGGTGCGTTAGTAGGGAGCTGGTTCTGAAGTGGAGGATCTGGGATTCTCAACCAGTGCCCATGCGGGATGTCGTGTTGCAGGTGGCAGCTTATTTTACTTGCTACACCAAAACACTGGTCGCAGGAGAAGTTATGAATTTTACCTTGTTCATTTCTTGGCAATTTATTGTTCTCTTTTATATTTGGTCTTTCAAATCTTTTATGTTCTTGAGAATAGCTTTATTAATTGATACTACTGAAATTGAATCTGAGGCATTCCATTGATGTCAAAATTATGCTCTCATAGGCCATATTTTTTTTTCCCATTTTTACTTTACAGTGTTTCCCCTTTATAGCACTTCCATCTGTTTTGATTCTGTGAAAACTGATAATTTATCTCTCAAAATATCAAAGGGCTACGTATTTGAGATTTAGAAAAATTGGATTTCTATTTGTAAGGACATGGCTTTCTTTAAAAAAATTAATATCTTCATTTAATTTGAGGACTTTCTTTTATTTTTCTATAGAGAATGTTATGTAATTTTATATTTTAATTAAGAGTATGAATTTCTCTTTCAGTGCAATGCGTGTTTTACTCTCTAAATTACCCAGACCATGGATTGTGGATGAAAAGAAAGATGATGGTTATACTGCCTTGCATCTGGCTGCTCTTAACAATCATGTAGAAGTGGCTGAACTTTTGGTACACCAGGTAGGAAAAGTAGTTTGATGGTTTCATTTTTTTCTTTTAAACAGTTTTGAACTATTGCAATTTGCTCATTACTTCATCAGCTACCTCTTGGGAGATCACAGTAAAAATCACATATGATACACCCTCTTCATCTGCTTTGTGAACATAGGGGAGGGAAAGGGAAGAAAGTGGAGTGGAGAAGGGAGAGGAGGGGGAAATCTATTAAATTAAAATTTTTATGATGATTACGTGGTTGTTAGGATGGGAAGGATTGAGGTTTAGGGAAACTTGGGTGAATTTATTGTTTCCAAATTTGCTGTTTCTCCTTGTTGTTTCTAGGGGAAGGGGAGAGACAAAGGGGAAAGCCACTCATGGTTTTCCACACATCCCAGTAGTCAGAAATGAGGAAACGCCACCTCGTATCAACCCAGAGTCTCAATGTGTGCATATTCCGAGGGTTCCGTCTAAGTCAATCCAAGGATGATGTCACCCTCCCGGTGTCCATTGGCTGACATAGCAAGCCACAAGTCTCCATTCACTGAAATTTTTTGCTGTCATCATTTGTTTGGGGTAGTTGTTCAGTTTGTTCTGTTCTCCTTCTGCTACAGCATCAAATGAGCTGCCATATTCTCTCTTTTACAACAGGGCCTATGTCCACTGCTCTGCCTTTTTCATTAAGTAGGGCATGTTCTTGCAGGTGAGTCCAAGGACCCAGGCCAGGCATCCCAGTTCTCACAGATCCCCTACCCATGGGGCTAAAAAACCCAGCACCCATCTTGTAGGCCAGCCCCAGGACCCAGGCCAGATAACTTGAGCCCCGCTAGATCCCCCATCCCTGGGGCTCATGAACCCGATACCCACCTCACAGGAAGTGCCCAGGACCTAGGCTAGGCAACCCGAGTCCTGCCACATCGCTCACCTTTGGGGTCACCTAGAAGGCTCCAGGATGTGGGCCAGGCAAGCTAAGCACTACTGGTTCCCCTGTCCCCAGGACTGAGGAACCCAGCCCCTCCAACACAGGTGGGCCCCATGATCTGAGCCAATCTACCCGAGCCCTGTCAGATTCCCCATCCCTGGGACGCATGAATCCTGCCCCCTCTGGGCCCAGGTTGGCATGACTCGCCTCACCTTAGCATACACAGTCTTGTTGCACAGTCTGGCCAAGTTTAGTCAGCCCCTGTTCCAACTCCTTCTGGTGGGTGCTGCAGCCTATTCCAGCCCAGCCTGATTGCTGTCCCGGACCTAATGGGAACTGGCTGGTGTTGCTGCCTGATCTGGCTCCTCCTGCTCCCTGTCCTGGTCCTCAGATCTGCCAGTGGGTGTTATGAGCTGGCCCAGACTGGTTGGTCTGTCCCCACACCTGACCCACACATGTATGCCGATGGGTACTGTAACCTGGCATGGTCTGGGTTCTCCTTGCTTCTTGTGCTCACCTACAGGGAATGTGTCCCAGTGAAAGAGTTTCCCAAGCTCCTCCCTCAGGTCTCCTCCCAGTGGCAGTTCTCGTGCACACCAGTGGGTCCTTGGCCCAGGGTGACTGTCCACCTCCTGTCCTGACAAGAACAGTGACCTTGCTCAGCTGGCCACACCCATTCTGGTTCTTGTTGTTGGTTGTTGCAGCCCAGGGATACCTGGTCTGTGCCCAGACACAGCTTTCACGTAATTAAACGGGATTCGAGACCTAGCTCAGCCTGTTCTGCACCCAAAGTGGCTCTCAGGAGTACCTGTGGGGGCTGGAGTCTAGCCCAATCTGTTGCTCTCCAGAGCCAGTGCACACCCAAACTGGTGGAGGCTGTAGCTATATCCAGCCCAGCTTGCTGCCCTCGATCCTGCTCTCGTTCTCGCCAGTTGGAACCCCAACCCAGCTGGGGCTTCCCCCTAGCTCCCCAGCAAGGCCTGTTCCCATGCGCAGTTCTTGGGCAAGCCAGCAGAGATTGCAGTTAGGAGGAGGTTTTTATCCCCTAGTTCCTGGGATGCCCTTGCACAGTCTTCTGGGACTGATCTGAAAAATCACCTAACAGGATTTTCCCGGGATGCTGCCCCCATTGTGGAAAGAGCACAGTGCTAAGGTCTGTCAGTAGAGCACATTGATGTCAGAATGCTTGGTACACGCAGCAGCGGTGAGACTCAATTCCTGATTCTCTGCTGGAGCCTTGCAGTCTTTGGCTGGTTAGCATTGACACAGGCTTTTGTTACTTAGTCACTACATTTATCCCTAAAGTAAAGTGACTCCATATTTTTATGAGGAGACATAGCACTGGTATTTTATTATGCTTTAGTCTACTGGATTATAAAATACATGTGCTAAAAATTACAAACATCTTTTTAAAGAAATAATTCAAAAATTAAGATATCTTCCTCCTTGCTATTTAAAATCTATTCAAGTTATTGCCTTTTTGTTAATTGTAATATTTTTCAAATTTAAACGGCCTATGTCAATACTAGATTACCTTGTTATTAGTGCTGTATAGTAAGGCTTAAGATCAGGTAAACATCCCTGGCCTGGCATGATGGCTCATTTGACTAATCCTCCCCCTTGCAGGAGTCGGGATCTCATGTGGGCGCTGGTTCTTTTCCTGGCTGTTCTGTTTCCCATCCAGCTCCCTGCTTATGTCTTGGGAGGGCACATAAACAAGTAGCACATAAACAAGTGAAATATTAATTGGATATTAAGGAAGTATAAGTTGTAAGCACAAAGAAATACTTATGATCACCCACAAGTAGGTGAGAATTATAAAGACCAGCATAACTAATGCTGATTAGGTTCTGGAACAGTTAGATTTCACTTACATTGCCGATGTTTTAAAAGCATTCACTTTTTGAAAAATACTTATTTTTCTTGGGAAGGTAGATTTGCAAAGAGAAGGAGACATAGAAAAAATCTTCCATATGCTGATTCACCCCATAAGTGGCCACAATGGCTAACGCTGAACTGATCCAAAGCCTGGAGCCAGGACCCTCTTCCGTGGGTCTCATCCAAGTGCACAGTCCCAAGGGCTTGGGTCATCTTCTACTGATTTTCTAGGCCACAAGGCAGGAAGCTGAATGGGAAATGGAGCAAATGGGACACGAATCGGTGCCCATATGGGATCTCAGTGTATACAAGGTGAGGATTTAGCCACTAGGCTATGGCATCAGGCCCTAAAGCACTCACTTTTAAAAATAATAGTATGATACAAAAGTTAGACTGTGTTCATGGTATAACCTGGCAGTCCCACTTCTAGGGATCTTCTGGTGAGTACTAAAAGCGTACTTCGACACAAATACATATACTGAATATTTACAGCAGCTTTCTTTGTAATAGCCTCATAACTGAAGCAAAATCTAAACTATGGACAAACTAGGAAACTTAAAGAAAATCTTCCACTCTTCATATTTATATGAGAACAAAGTCCTTAAGAAAATAGTGTGAGTTCAGCTACTACGTGACCATGCTCAGGGAGACTGTAAAGCACGGTAATGAAAGTCAATCGGACACTCCCATTTTCCAGAATCTACGTAGCGTTCCTCAAGTTTCAGCTCTACCTCGCACTCCAGAGACGTAGGAGATACCAAGTTGTGATCAAGTGGCATGAGTAGTTCTAAGATTAAACAAAATGATTGAAGTATTATCTTTGCAATATTTAGTTCTTACCACCGTAATTCTGTTTTTAAAAACCATGCCAGCATTCTAGGCAGTTTGGCATTTTACATTAACCCTGCCCTTAGGTTTGTTTGGATGTGATGAAATGGTGGAAAGCTTGCTTAAATTCATGCAGCATATAGGTGACAGAACTTAGCACACACCACTGTTGGGCCTTTCCGCCCCTTTGTCTTGTTAGATATTGGTCCTTCGGCTGTCTTAGGAACTGAGAAAGACTTTCTGTTCTCCCTTTAGTGATATTTTTATGCACCAAGTAAGCATTGCCTTCTCATCTCAAAGTATGTTTTCAGTGATTTAACACGAGGAAGTGAACTTATCAGTGCTTTAATGTTAGTCTGAATCCAATATGACTCCATACAAAAGCTTTTTCCAATACATATTTATAGTTCAAGGAGTTAATTATCTTTCTTGCTTTATGTTGGAAATCGGAAAAGACATGTTTGAATTTTGTACTGTATTTTTTATTTAAAAAGCAAAAAAATTTTGTTAAATAAAATTTTTTAGCATCTCAAATGCATGTATTTTTATATAGATAAAATGCACCTTTAGGAAGTTCCAATTTTTCAGTCATGAGTTTATACCTTGTAATTTTAGTGTGTACTGCACTTGGGTAGAAGGGAGTGTGACTTGTCCAAAGCATACTCAACCAGTGTAAAGGATCCGTGGGGTGTACAGGCAGAGCCCTGATCTGAGGCCCAGCAGGGCCTCCCCGCGCCCTTCACCCTCCCTAGGGGCTCCCTTTCCATATCCTCGTGTGTCTCTTCCAGAATGTCTATGAAGTGAAGCACCCAAGAGATCCCCTCCAGCTTTTAAGCGTGAGCACCCTCTCCTAGGAAGTGTGTGTGTTCACCCTTGCCAGTTTTCCCCAATTCTTTTTTTTTTTTCTATGCTGTATTTTGTCCTTCAGCTGTTCTTAGATAGAATCACTTTAACAAAAATATTTTTTAAAACTTGCTGTTTTACTCTAGATTTGTTAGTTATCCTGTTTATTTTTCTGTGTTTGCTAATAACAACTCTTAACACATGAAAATGTGGCAGCAGCTAGTGAGTGGTCACTAGCATTCAAGATTCTCTAGCCTTTAGTTATAAGCTTAATGTTTTTTGCTGTTGTCAGATTTTGCCATTTAAATTTTGTTGTTCTTGTTCAGGGTAATGCAAACCTGGATATCCAGAATGTGAACCAGCAGACTGCCCTCCACCTTGCTGTTGAACGACAGCACACCCAGATTGTTAGGGTAAAGTATTTATCAACATAATTTAGTTACTGTTTTATTTTAACCAGACAGAATTTTGAAAGGTCTTGAAAATTCAAATGATACAATGTTAGATTTCTCAAGAGATGTTAAGGTAGATATAAAACTATGGTTTTAAGCTAATATTTTGCATCGATTGTATAGAAAGTTTTTTTATCAGCAAAATTTTAAGAATTCTGATATTCAGAGCTATATAGTTTTATTGTCAGATTTCTAAATTTATGTTGAGGAAATTTCAAAATTGAAAATAAACTAGAAAGTAAAAGACCTGGCTAGGGCAGGTATTTGAGGTGCTACTTAGAACAACCTCATTCATAGATGAGTGCCTAGGTTGAGTCCCAGCTCTGTTGCTGGGAGGCAGGAGGTAACGGCTGCAGTGTATGGATCCCTGCCACCCACGTGGGAGACCTGAATTCAGTTCTGACTTTTGGGTTTTGCCTGACCTGGTTCTGTCTGTTGTGGACATTCAGAGAATAAACCAGAGTTCTCTACCTCTCTGCCTTTCACATAAACAAAATCTTTGGACAGTTGCTGCTGTAAATTTTTTAAAAAGGTAAAATGTATCTCTATTTTATCAATCTGGTGATTCAAAACAACATTTTTGAGAGTTTGAGTTTAAATATTTTTGTAGAGCAGTAATTCCTAAAGTTTGAAGCTTAATCACCAGCATGAGGATCAGCAGCTCCTGGGAGTTCATGCCTGGGCCCCACCTCAGACCAACTGAACCAGAACTTCTTGGGTGGTTTAGCAAACCTCAAGGCAATTCTAATGCTTGTTCAGATTTGAGAAATACTGCTCTGAGGTGATCTTTTCTGAAACCTGTTTGGATGAAGAAAAAACGTAATTTGCCAAGGGAGAAAAGACTGTATAATCGAGATTGGTTCCATAGTGCTTTACTAAAACCCTTTGTAGTATTCAGAGAAAAGATTAAGAACATTGTTAAAGTTCTGAAAGTAAAGTCTTCAATATATTTCTATCTACTGCCTAAATTATCTGTGAAATATGTTAATTAAGGATTTTATTAAAAGGGATTATGGTTGAATAAATGTTGTTCATATTTGTTACTTGAAATTTCTCTTACTAAAAATTCTTCATTTATCCTCCATGTTGTTTGGACTTTATTCATGATCATAGATTTAGAAAAAAATTATGGAAAAGAATGGAATTAAAAAAATAACTTTTTCTTGTTTAAGTATAAAAATTGTGAAGAGTATCATTTGGTTTTTGTAGATATACTTCAACTATGTTTACTCACATACCCAAAATAAGAGGAGCAAAAAAGTGCTGAATTTCCCTGTTACCACGCTCTCTTCTCGAGTCATTTCTTCTTATTTTTTCCTAATTCAGCATTTGAATCACTGGAGCACTTTCCGCTTTGTAAGGAGCCACAGAGTTTAGAACAGTAGAAGATGCAGTTGTACAAACCATTAGTTCTAGTAGCAATTCCTTCAGTAGGTCCAGGGCTCATTCCATACGTTGTCATTTCTAATAGGTGTGGCTACTTTAACTAAATGTGAGTTCTTTCTCCTTCAGCTTTTAGTGCGTGCAGGTGCTAAGCTGGACATTCAGGATAAGGACGGGGACACTCCTCTGCATGAGGCCCTGAGGCATCACACTTTGTCTCAGCTGCGTCAGCTGCAAGACATGCAAGACGTGGGGAAGGTGGATGCTGCCTGGGAACCATCCAAAAACACAGTGAGTGAAGATACTCTCTCATTCAATAGCAGAGGGGTGTCTTCTAATACAAGGCTTTATCTGATGATATGATCTTGAATAGGTAAAGGATTGTATCAGAGCTACAGACTTGGTGGACTGAATATTAATTAATACTAATGATACTGTTCCACATTCTTAAAAAAAGGCTTGTTTGGCCTGCGGTACATACTGGCATGCATGGGAACCAGGGTAGTGAGCAGGCCTGGTGGGGTTATGGAGAGTCACCCCGACAAGGCTGCAGCTCCCACTGGTTTACGTGAGGACTGTGTGTGAAGTGGGTGGGATTGAGCTGGACTACAACACCCATTAGTTCAAGTAGATGACAGGGCTGGAAACAGAACTGAACCAGCAATTGCAATGACCAGCATGTGCATAAGCTGATTGGGGCGACGGACTGTGCTGGACCCTGTAAGAACCAGGTTTGGGATCATCTCTGATGAAGTTTCTTTGGAGATCCCTCCAACTGAACTGCTGATCTCAGAATTCCAATCATGAATAGATTATGTCAGTCAGTGGATTCTGAATAGGTTTCATCACGATTGGAACAGTGAGATTGGCAGCAATTCAGGCCTGTTGAACTATCAAAACTGGTTGAACAGGACTCTGAAAGTGTGCCTCACATCGGGGACCTGGGATGGGTGGGAGGCTGGGTGGGCTTTAATGTTTGTTTCTCCCCTGACCTCAGATACAGGGAAAAAAATATTAGTGTGGAAACAATGGTATTACCCACTTTGCAGTAGCCCTTGACCCTTTGTGCCCTAATCAACTAAGTAAGATCATTTAAAAAAAAAAAAAACATTTAAAAAAAAAAGGCTTGTTTAAATTTGTCCCATTTGAGTTAGGTATGTTCTGTTAAAGTCTAGTTTGCATTTCTCTAGTTACTTGTTAATATTGATCATTTTTTCATTTACTGTATTACTACATGTATTTGATGAAATGTTTGCTCAGATTCATTATTTAGTTGAGTTGCTTATTATTGAGCTTTGGGAGTTCTTTGTAAAATATGAGTATAAATTCTTCATCAGGTATGTGATAGACACTTTTTTTCTTCCAGCATGTGGCTTATCTTCATTATTTAAAAAATGTGTTTTTGGAAGAGTAGAAAAAACAGAACTTCTTAATTTTGATGAATTCTCATATGTCAGTTTTTTCAGTTTTTTCTTTTCTTTTCCTTTTTTGGAGAGTTCCTCCACCAGTTTATTCCCCAGTGACTGCAGTGGGTGGGACGGACTGAGTCTATCGAAGCCAGGAGCCAAAAGCCTCCTCTAGCTCTCTCACATGGATGAGAGAGGTCCAAGCATTAGAGCCATTTTCAGCTGCTTTTCCCAGACCATTAGCAGGGATCTGGACTTACAAGTGCAACAACCAGGACTCAAACTGGTACCCTAGGATGCTTGTGTCACAGGCAATGGCTGTGGCTGCTATGCCAATGCTGGCACCCTAGCTTTTATGTTTTATCACTAATTTTTGCCAGACCCTAAATCATTCTTAAGAAGTTCATAAAGTTGTAGCTGTTAAGTTTACATCTATGATTCATTATGTAGATAATAATGACACAGGGATCAAAGTTCATCATCTTGCTTGTGGCTAGCCAGTAGTTCCACCACCATGTATTGAGATGAGTCTTTTTACTGAAATACCTGGAATACCTTTATCTAGAATCAGTGTATGTAACAGTCTCTTTCTGGATCCTGTATTCTATTCTGTTTGTAGCTGTGTGATGCCAATACCATTGTCTTGATTACTGTAGCTTTATAATAAATGTTGAACTCAGGTTATACAAATCCTGTAATTTTAGTCTTTTATTTTCAAATTGTAAAGTCTTTGACACTTTCATTTTAACTTTAGAATCTTTTCTAGCATAAGAGAGTTCTGAGACCAACTAAACTGGTTGAGAATAATGGCCTTATTTTATGATCATGGTTTTAATTCTCTTCTCTCCTATATGTTTCCCTTTTCTCATCTTACAATGACAAGAAGCAGTTTCCTGTTTAGATTGTTGTACAGAAAATAAACAGTGCTTAAGATACTTGGCTCATCATAAATGCTCAGCAAATGTTAACAAATTTTGTGACTATTGTTTGATTCAGTAGTTCAGGTGATGGTATCTGAGCTTTACTTATCCTGTTTTTTATTTTGGGGGGCGCGGGGCTCATTTCACAGTTACTGGATTTTTTCCTGAGTTATGTCTCCTCTAATTGTCTCAGGCTTGTTGCTACAAATCTAGAGCCAATATGTTTAGTAGGAATTTTGCTGTTGACTTTTATTACCTTTAGTTGACCTTTGTTTTTTATATATAATTATGTTGGCGTGATAGAGATCTGACATGTTTGAGCCACCTTTGGTCAACTTCTATTGCTAGAAAATAGGTCCATTCTTAAACCGTGTGACTGAAAAGTTGTGATTAGTTTAGAAGGGGAGTTATTATAACTGAAATTTATTAATATCCACCATATACACAGACACACACAGAGCAGATTTCTAAAGGTAAAACTGCAATTCTTTGTTTTGGTTTCAGTTAATCATGGGACTTGGTACCCAAGGAGCAGAGAAGAAGAGTGCAGCATCTATTGCATGTTTCCTGGCAGCAAATGGTGCTGATCTTAGCGTTCGAAACAAGAAGGGTCAGTCACCCCTTGATCTCTGTCCCGATCCAAGTCTTTGCAAAGCACTGGCAAAGTGTCACAAGGAAAAAGTCAGGTCTGTATTTTTTTTTTATCATAAAACTTAATATTCTGTACGTAAGGTTACCATGTGATTTTATAATGGAGGACTTCACTACATGAAAATGTCTTCCTTTGTTCTGTTCCTTTGTCTTGATGTTGACCTATTTTTCCTGAAAGTTTCTTATGTGTATTATGTCTCTTCCTTCAGTTGTGTTCCCCAGATTATTTTCTAAAATATTCTGATCTGGTAGTATTCCTGTATCTTAGGAGAAGTTATCAGTAATGAAGTCTTACCAGTAAAATTGTTTGATTAATATTTTATATACTTAAAATTTTAATAGACTGTTTTGAGACAGCTTACACAGCATGTATCTCATATAGGTGCTGTAATAATTCTAGCACTCTGCACCTAGCACCTGACAAACAGTAAGTTTAGAGAAGGGTTGAGAGATTAAACAGTGAATCGGTTCTTGGTGAAATTTTCTCAAAGATCATTTTATTTTTGTTTCTGAAATAAATTAAAAAATTGTATTATTCATGACATTATTTATTTATATATTCTATTAATTTTCATCAAAACAGTGTTGTGGGAATATTGTTAGCTTCCTACCTGATTCTTATCCCTGAACATTTTGGTGGCGCGTGGTCTCTCTCTTGCTCTCTTTCTCTCCCCCTCTCCCTCCTTCCCTCTCTCTTCCTTTCCTCCCTTTCTCTTATTGTTTTAATTTTGTTTATTTGAAAAACAAAGTTATAGAGACAGACAGAGGACTTTTCTTCTGCTGGTTTGCTCCCCAAATGGCCGCAGTGGATGGAGCTGGGCTGGTCTGAATCCAGGAGCCAGGAGCTTCTTCTTCTTGTATCCACATGGATACAAGGGCCCAAATACTTAGGCCATCCTTCGCTGCATTTCCAGACTTGTTAGCAAGGACCTGGATCAGAAGTGGAGCACTGCTAGACACTGCTGTGCCACAGCACCTGCCACATGGTGGCTGTCTGTTGAACTTTATGTTCTGTAACCTCTGTGCATGCAGATGTGTTATAAACAAAATTTTAAAAATGATGTATGTACATTTCCTTAATTGTACCTGTAAGAACAGAAAATCCTATTATTGGTGGCTGGGCTTAAGGCATGGTGGTTAAGCCTCCACCTGTGATGCCAGTATTTTATCTGGATGTCAGTGTGAGTCTCAGCTGCTCCACTACTGATCCAGTTCCCTGCTAGTGCCCCTTGGAAAACAGTGGAGGATGTCTCAGGAACTTGGGCCCCTGCCTCTACCAGGGAGTCTGGATAAGGTGCCTGGGTCCTGGCTTGTGTCTCAGCACATGCCGTTGGGATCACTTAGGAAGTAAAGCCCCTGTCTGTCTCTCCTTATCCTCAAATAGATAAGTCAGTCCTTAAAAAAGAAACCTATCGTGGAAAGACAATGCATCTGTAAGTGCATAAATACAAACACTAATTATTACAGTAATAACTTGTAATAATAGACTCTAAAGTGGAGCTTCTATGTGCAGCTGTCTGTGTGTGTGCTGGTATTTCTGAAGAATGTGATGGAAGTACTATCTTTTCCTGTAGCACTGGTTGCTCTTACAAATATATTTCTGTGCCTTTTATCTCTATTTTGATACATTTATTTGAAAAGTGGAGTGATGGAGAAAGAAAGAGATCTTTTATGTGCTTGTTTATCCCTCAAATGGCCACAGTGGCTGGACTTAGGCCAGCCCAAAACCAGTACCCTGGAACTCTACTACAGTCTCCCACTTAGATGGCAAGAATATAAGTGTTTGAATCAGCATCAGCTGTTTCGTGGGCATATTATCAGAAGATTAGATGAGAATCAGAACAGGACTTAAACTGGCGTTCGGTAAGAGATGTGGGTGTCACAATAACTGTGCATAATGCTCACTCCTCATGTGTCTCTATATATATTTAAAATGCCATTCTTTCATTCTGTAATAGAATTTTATTGGGGAGGGAGTGAAGCACAATGGCTTAATTGGCTAGACCTCCCTATGGAAGTCCCAGGATTCCATACAGGCAGTGGTGCATGTCCCAGGTGCTTTATTTCCAATCTGACTCCCTGTTTATGGCCTGGGAAAGCAATGGAGAATGGCCAAAGCCTTGGGACCTGGAAGAAGCTCCTGGCTCCTGGCTTCAGATTGGCTCAGCTCCAGCTATTGTGGCCATTTGGGGAATGAACCAGTGGGTGGGAGATCTCTCTGTCTCTCTCTAATGCTCCCCTTCTCTGTAAATCTGTCTTTTCAATAAAAAATAAATAAATCTTTAAAAAAATTTTTTTTTCATCAGGGACATATGTAAAGAAAGGTCAGAACAGGCCTTAAAGTGTCATTTTCCAAAGAACTCTACTTGTAATAGATTTTTTAAAACAAAAGTTATTTGAAAGTTACAAAGAGGAAAAGGGAGATATTCCATTTGCCGGTTCATTCCCCAAATGGCCACAGTGGCTGAAGCTAGGCTAGTTGAAAGCCAGGACGCAGGAGCTTCATCTGGGTCTCACATGTGGGGCAGGGTTCCAAGTGCTTAGGCCATCTTCTGCTGATTCTCAGCCCATTAACAGAAAAGTGGATTGGAAGTGGAGTGGCCAGGACTCAGCCAGTCCACTATAGGAAGCCGGCACCACAAGCAGCGACTTTATGGGCTATACCACATTCCTGCCCCTCCTTCATTCTGTCATGTTTGCTTCTTAGAGTTTTTCTTTTGTTCCTGTGTCCCTTGCTTCTGGGGCTATGTAGATAAAATAAGTTAAATGTTGTCTATATTAGGTTTTACCTAGTGTTTTGACTTCTTTATTGAGAAAATTGTCATTTCCATTGGGTAACAGTTTGTTCGACTAGTTTTTGAGTTTATGGTAGAAATATCTTGATGAACTTGATTTGGAATATTTTCTCTTATTAGTGGTCAGGTGGGTTCTCGGAGTCCTTCTATGATTAGTAACGATTCTGAAACCTTAGAAGAGTGTATGGTGTGCTCAGACATGAAGAGAGATACTCTTTTTGGTCCATGTGGGCATATTGCAACCTGTTCTTTGTGTTCTCCACGAGTCAAGAAATGCCTCATCTGTAAAGAACAAGTTCAGTCCAGGACAAAGGTAATGTATTTTTAGTAAAGTATTTGATCATTTTGTTCTTTTTTACTGTAGTTAATGATAAATAATATTATGTGATATATCTATTTTGTTCTTTAAAACAATGACTTAGACACAGGTATTAAAAACTTAGACATTTATTTATAAGCTGTTAGTTCAGAATTTCTTAATTTATTGCCAGCTTACTGTCTTGTTTTAATGTGTTTATTTGCCAGATTCATTACTGTTTGAATTTAACTGTACTGCTTTTATTCTCTGAAATTGTTTTAGCCCTTATGTAGTTCCTTTTTTATACCTAAACCATAGTGATTAAAAGTAAAAGTTAATATTTTGCTTTGAAAGCCCTTATACTTTAAAGATAATGTTTAATTATACTTTGCAATATGTTTTGTGAAATTTTCAAACCTTTGGAAAATGTAATGAACATGCCTACCCATTTGCCAGGTTGCTTGCAGAGCCTTTGACTGTAAAGAAATAGTGACCCCAAGTGGTTAAATTATGAACATCTTCATTGAGGAAAAACAAATTATGGAAGGAAGGCTAATAAACAAGGTTGGGTGGTTTTGCAGTTAGAGAAATGGAGTTAACATGAACTAGTCCTGTGGAATTAGCATTTTTGCTAACAAAGAAAGTGGGAAATGACCGTTAAAGGCCATCCTGACCATATATATACAACCCCCTAATGTAACAGTGTGTTTTCATTTGGGGAAAAGTTGCCATTACAGATATACATATATATTTAGATATTGGGGAAAGCAAATGGTTATTAAGTGATCTTGGTATATTATTTCAAACTGTTTAATTATACTTCACATATAAATATGCAAGTATCAGTACAAGTATGTGCAGAGGATAATAATATATTGGACACTGATTAACTGATTACATACTACATGAACTAGATACTTTTACACAGATGATTTACTCTTTTTTTTTTCTAATAAAAATGTTTATTTGAACGACAGTGATAGGAGAAAGATTTTCTATTCACTGGTTCACTCCCCATATAACCACAACAGCTAGGGCTGGGCTTGGGAGAAGATGGGAGCCAGGAGATTCATCCTGGGCCTCCACGTAGGTGACAGGGACCTGAATGCTTCCTCGTCTCTGCAGCTTTCCCAGGTTCCTGAACTCAGACCAGCACTCTGATACATTGCTGGCTTCACAAGTGTCCTCATCCTCTGTTCCACATCACTAGGCTTAGTGATTTTCTCTTTGCTCCCCTGAAAAGAAGGATTGTTTTTTCTAGTTCTTATTCAAAAAAGGGGGAGAAAAGCTATGACTCCATAATTTTAAGTAATTTATTAGTGTTAGCGGGAGATTTTTGCATCCACGATCCTCAGGGTCACAGCCAACCAAGTTTTACTTCAAGCACTATTGTTACAACTGAATTCTACACGCAGACTGAGTTGAGAAACATGATGGAAAGAACAAGCAGTATTTGTTTGTTATGGTAGTGTTTTAAATGAGTTGTGGTTACCATTTTAGGACAGGAATATTGAAAGGCACTAGAAACAGCTAAATGTGACTGTGTGCTAGAAAGAATAGGTGGAAGGAAGTTGGTTGAGAAGCCAAGGGCAGAGGGATGGAGTGAAGAGAGCCAGAGCCTAGGTTGTTAGTAGTTACATGCTCAAAACTCAGGTTAAGCAGAGATGAAGAGATAAAATTGAGGGTGGTTAGGGATAAGTTGTAGAGTACTTGTGGCTCTTACAGCCACAGAAAAGAGGAATAGCTTAAAGGTGTGGGCTTCAGCTAGAATGCAGTTAACTATGTCTTAGAAGAGAGCTTTAAAAATTGTTTATTTGCTTGAAAGTCAAAGCTATAGAGGGAGAAAGGGAGGAAGAGACAGAGAGAGATCTTCCATTGGCTGGTTCACTCCCCAGATGGTTGTAACAACTGGTGCTAGGCCGGTGAGAAGCCAGGATCCAGGAGTTTGTTCTGAATTTTCCACATGGGAGCAGGGGCCCAAGCATTGAGCCATCCTCTGCTGCTTTCTCAGGCTGTCAGCAGGCCTGGATTGAAAGTGGAACAGCTAGGGCTTGTACCTGTGTCTGTATGGGATGCCGGCACCACAGGAAGCAGCTTAACCACAACACCATAGCACCAGCCCCAGAAAAGGACTTTTAGGGAAAGTTCCTTGAGTGTGGGTGAACAATAAAATCACCCTTAGAGTTTAGCTATATCTAGCTAGGTTTTATTGGTATTAGAAAATTATCTTGTCAGTGATTTATTTTTATATTTCTTTGTCCATTAGCCTTTTAGTTTCCTTTCAAAAATAGTTTTGGGATGTAAAGCGGAGTGGAGTGGCCAATACTGGAGTCTATCCCGGTCTTCCTGGCCTTGGAGGACTTGTGTTTGTGTTGTGTGATTCTTCAGGATAGGTCAGTAGCCAGTGGGGTACCAGTGCCTGTTAAACTAGAGTATATAAAGGTGTGAAAAAGAGGAGAGGACAGTCATGTGTGCTAAAGCTCAGTGCCCAGAGGGTTTCCTTACAGAGGAAATGCATTTGGATATAAACAGAACTGTTACCTAGTGATTAGACTTCTCCGGGTGTGCTCACTGTGCTCCACCCTCCCCTCTCCAGATTGAAGAATGTGTGGTATGCTCCGACAAGAAAGCAGCTGTTCTTTTTCAGCCCTGTGGACACATGTGTGCTTGTGAGAGTGAGTAGCCTCTACCAGATTTCCTCAGTGTTACTATTAAAGACAGAAAATGAAACACAATTTTTATCTATGAAGTTTCTTTTTTGCTTGGGTGTTTTTTGTTCTTGTTCTTTTTGGTTTTTGGTTTTTTTTTGTTTGTTTTTGTTTGTGTCTATGTGTTTTTAACAAGTAGTTGACAAAAAGTTTGGTCCTGTAGGAACTTCCATTTCTGTCTAAGCAATAGTCAGCCACTTCTCTGAGCTTCTGAGCTCTCAAGAGGACGGGGTATGCTGTGTTCCACCAACATGTATTTTTATTTCTTTTGAATAAGCACAAGATGATCTGTCTTTGCACATAATGGAAACTTATTTACAAAAATGAATATATGGGCATCTGATTTTTTTTTTTTACATACAGGCAGGATTGGCGTATCTTCTCTTTTGTTCACCTTAACATTACCTTTCATGTAAACTTTCCCCACTCTTGAAGAGCCCATAGCAGCTATTTGGTGCTATAATATTTGGCCTTCCGTTAACTTTTTGCCAAGAAAGCTTATAAAAGTATTTTATTTGCAAAGACAATATTTAAGGAATATTTTATAAGTTCTAAATATATTGTCTTAAAAGTCCTTGCTGATTTTTTAAAAATAGATTTGTCTGTTTTTAGGTTAATTTTGTTTATTTGAAAGGCAAACAAAAAGAGGGATAAAGGAAAATGGCAAAAATTTTCTGTTTATTGGTTCACCTCTCAAATGCTCACAGTAGCCTGGGCTGGGCCAGGCCAAAGCCTGGAGCCCAAAGCCCAGTCTGGGTCTCCTAACTGGATGACAGGTTCCTAAGTACTAGAGCCATCTCCTGCTGCCTTCTAGGGTGCATGGTAACAGGAAGCTGCTCTAGGGAAACAGCCGGAGGCTCAGACCCAGACATGCCAGTGTGGGATACGGGTGTCCACAGAAGTATCTTCTTTTTTTTTTTTTTAAGATTTGTTTATTTTAAAGACAGAGTTACAGAGAGAGGTAGGGGAAGATACACTGGTTCATCTACTGGCTCGTTCCCCAAATGGTTGTAATGGCTGAAGCTGGGCCGGTCTGAAGCCAGGAGCCAAGCAAAAGTTTCTTCTTAGTCTGCCATGAGAGTGCAGGAACCCAAGGAGTTGGGCTGTGTTCTACTGCTTCCTCAGGCATGTTATCATGATGGGAGCTAGATTGAAAGTGGACCAATTGGGACTCAACTTGGCACCTATATGGAAGTGGCACCAGTACTGCAAGCAGTGACTTTATCCAGTACACTACAGTGTCAGCACCCTGAAAAATGTCATAACCACTGTGCCAAATATCTGACCCTTAGGCCTTTGCTTTATAAAAAATTTTTATTTACTTGTTTACTTTTGATGATGTTTACATAGTTAACCAGGGTGAGACCATTGTTTCCAAATCTTTCCCCCCTCTTCCTCCTATATCTGGGGGAAGGGGGCAAGTTATGGGAGATGCCACACTCCGCCTCCCCACCACAACGGTACCCAGGGATGGATAATGGCCACCCAGTGGCATCCCAGGGTCATTGATACAGGGCCTGATCCAAGGGTTCTGCTCAAGTGGTTTTGATAGTTCTGAAATGCTGTCAATCTTGACGATCTGAGGATGAGGAAAGCTTTTCAAGGTCCATCTGCTCACACGCTCTACCCCAGAGTCTCCATTCTTCCAGCTGTCAACGCTTGGCTGGGGTAGTTGAGTGATTTGTTCTGCTTTCCTTCCTCTGCTATGGTACCATGTGTCCTCTGCAAGACCTTTGCTTTTTATAGGCCTCTGTTCTTAAGTCCATCCATACATCTGCCTATCCTTCCTCCCTTTTTGAAACATTTTTTTAGTTTTTTGAAACTCAGAGTTGGAGACAGGTAGGGAGCCCTTCCATACATGGATTTGTTCCCTAGATGGCCACAACAGTCAGGGCTGGGCCAGGCTGAATCCAGGAGTGAGGAGCTTCATCCAGGTCTCCTACATGGGTAGAAGGTGCTAGGGAAGCTTGGGCCATCTGCTGCTGCTTTTTCTAGGCCGTTAGTAAGAAGCTTGATTGGAAGTGGAAAAGTTTCACATAGAATGTCTGATACAGTATCACAAGTCGAGGCTTTACCTCCTGGGCCACAAGGCCAACTCCATTTATATTTCTCTTAAAGCATTTTTAATTATGTTTTAAAGCTTTATTATTTTTATTTGAAAGGCACAGTTAGAGAGAGGAATCTTCAGTCTGCTGTTTCACTCTCAAAGACAAGCCTTTCCAAAGCCAGGATCCAGAAGCTTCTTCTTGGTCTCCCACTAGGTACTGAGGCCCAAGGACTTGAACCATTCTCTGTTGCTTTTCCGGTACAGAAGCAGGGATCAGTTCATAAGCTGGATCAGAAGTAGAGCAGCAGGACACAAACCAGTGCCCATATGAGATGCTGGTTCCATAGGTGGAGACAACTTACTGCACCCTTTTTTAGTATTTTCTATTTCCTTTTGCATTTTTTCATTTTATCAACAAAAGATTTTAATGCAACATATACCTTATTTAAATGGGTCCAAGGTAAAATGTGTCTCATTATAAAATAGTTTACACATCACATGTTACTATACTGACTGGAATAATACACAAATTGTGGGATAATTTCATTTTTTTTTTGTAGGTTGGTATTTTTGTCTTTTTTATTTGTAAGCAAATTCCATTTATTCAGGTGGTGAAATAGTTGGTATTTTCTATTGTAACAATTCTGCCTCAAGGAAATATTTAAGTTTGCCTAAGACTGGTAAAATAATGTCTTAAATAAAAAGGGCTGAGATTGCATTAGCTTTCTTAAACCAGAAGTCAACAAGTTTTCTTCAGTAGAGTCAAATTAAGAAAATCCTTTTGTGTTTGTAGGCAACATGGTTTCTGTAGTAACCAGTCAACTCTTCTCAGTCTACTGAACTTTACAAAAAAAGAAAAAAGAAAGAAAAACAGCTATGGAAAATATTACATGAATAGGAGTGATCTGGTTCCAGTAAAACATAACTGGTAACAGATCAGATTGGGCCTGCTAGAGACCCTTGTCATAGGCTGAAGTGATACCTACATAAGACTTGAAAGTTGATTATAATTAGTTAGTAACACAGATTTGGAAGCCTTAAGGTCATATATTCTTAAGGAGCTCCCCAGAGTATTTTAGTGGCACTAAAGGGCTAATTTTCATTGAGCTGTTAACTGTGTAGTAAGCATTTTGATCTCTTTTATTATTTCCTCATTTAACTGTAGAACCATCCTAAGAAGTAAATGGTTGTCTGTTTTATCATGTTTGTTTTTATTTTATTCATTTGAAAGGTAGAATTACAGAGAGATGGGGAGAGATGTAGAGAGGTCTTGCATCACTGATGCATTCCCCAAATGGCTGCCATGTCTGGGGCTGGGTCAGGCCAAAGCCAAGACCCTGGAGCTTCTTTCAAGTCTCCCACATTGGTACCAGGGCCAAACACTTGGGCCATCTTCCTCTTTCCAGGTGTAATGGCAGGGAGCTGGATCAGGAGTGAAGCAGTTGGAACTTGAATAAGTGTCTATATGGTATGCCAATATCATAGGCAGCTGCACAAACTGCTGAGCCACAGTGCACATCCTGATAATAGTGCCCTTAAATGTTTATTCACTAGAGAAGATGCAATGGAGATGGAAAATACTCCTTTCCTGAAGAATGTACAGTTGCAGCAGTTAGTCACAGCACCCATGTCACCATGTGTTAAGTAGAGTATACAGTGGCATGGCAGGTCGAAGGAAGGAGAGAATATCATTTTGGAGGTGAAGAGGTTTTGAAGAAACACTATGATAGTGAACTCTGAATAGTTAAAAAGAATTTTATAAAATTGTGATCATAATTTATTGAGACAGCCAAATCAATTCTTTAAGAGAACATACAGCCCTTAAATTGATGACAAAATCTCCGACCAGATTCCCACTAGCTTTACCTCCTATCTGGTGCATCTGCACTAGCAGATGTCACACCCATTTACGTTTAGGCTTTGGTATGAGGTCAGCCTATTTTTTTTTTTAATTTATTTATTTTTATCGGAAAGGCAGATTTAGAGAGAAGGAGAGACAGAGAAAGATGTTCTATCTGTGGGCTCATTCCCAAAGTGGGTGCAACAGCTGGAGCTGAGCCAGTCTGATGCCAGGAGCCGGGAGTTTCTTCTTTGTCTCCCACATGGGTACAGGGTCCCAAGACTATCCTCAGTTGCTTTCCTAGGCCACAAACCAGGAGCTGGAGGGGAAGTGGAGCAACTGGGATATGAACCTGCACCCACATGGGATCCTTGTGCATGCAAGGCAAGGAGTTAGCCACTGTGCTACCCTACCTAACAATTCAATTTTTTTTTTTCTTTCTTTATTTTTGACATTCTTTACATAGTTACTTAGGCAGAAAAGTTCAAGGGCCACAGCAAAGTGGATAAGACTATTATTTTCACATTGTTTTTGTCATGTATCTGGGGTAAAGGGGGAGATAAAGGGAGAAGCCCCACCCAGCCTCCCACCCATTCCAGGTCCTAGATGTGGGGCATGCTCCGAGGGTCTTGCTCAAGTGGTTTTGATAGTTCAACAGTTCTGAATTGCTGCCAATCTCACCATTCCAAGCATGATGAGGTCGCTGAAGAATCCACTGATTGACACAGTTCATCTTAGAGTCTCTGTTTGCCCAGTTTTTCACTGCTAACATATAGCTGAGGTGGTTGATTGATTTGTTCTGTCCTCTGTCTTTTCATTGTTAGGGTTCTGAGTCCGGCAGTTCGATTGGGGGGATCCCCAAAGAAACTTTGTCTGAGGTGTTCCCAGACCAGATTCTTGTGTGTACTAGCAAGTACAGGGCCTGGTACAATCCATTGCCCCAATCAGCTGGTGGTTGCAATTGCTGGATTGGTTCTATTTTCAGCCCTGACTTCCACTGGGACCAATGGGTATTGCAGTTCAGCTTGATTCTGCCCAACACACACTCGGCCCTCACATAAACCAATGGGAACTGCAGCCTAGTCGGGGCGACCCACAATAACCCCCACCAGGTCTGCCCCCTATCCTGGTTTACCAGTATGTGCAGCAGACTTGTCCAGTCTGTCCTACATCCCATTCGACTCTCATACATGTCAATGGGCATTGAAGCCTAGTTCAACCCAACCAGCCTGACTGTCTAGCCCACACACATGTTGGTGGGTGCCTTTCTATCTAGCCACCCCAGCCCCTGTCCTGGTTTTCATGCCCTCCCGTAGAAGTGGTAACCCAAGAGGGCTGAGCCCACTATTTCCCTCCCAGGCCTCTCCCACTCCTGGATTATGCACTCTCCAGGTAGTTCTCTGGTTTGACTTGACAGACCAAGCCCCCCAGTGCCGGCTTCTGCCAGCTGATGCTGTGGATAAGCCCAAACAACACTCACCCACTCTAATTTTGTTTGCACCAGTAGGAATAATCAGCCCAGCCTGGCTTTTCCCGGATCTAGTCCACATGAGGCATACAGGTGTCGTAGCCCTGCCTAGTCTGGTCTGCCCCCATCCCAGCTCATGCTCTCCAGTGGGAGTAGCTATCCAGCTGGGGGCCCCCTATGTTACCCCTGCTTGCTCCGCTCTCTCCCTTCCTGATTCTCACGTGTGCTGGTTGGGCGCTGTGGTCACATCCAGTACAGGTCACTTCACCTTGGCATTCCGTATTGTGCACTGGTTTTTTGGTTGCAACTGAACCTGGCTCAACCCATACTCTGTTCCAGTGCTCAGATTTGCCAGTGGGTAGTGTGAACTGGTTCAGCCTGGTCTGCCCCTGACCCATGCCAAATGTCTGCCTGTGGGTAACTTTCCATGGCCTGTTCTGGGCTGTTTCCTATCTTGCTTCTTGCGCTTACCTGCCCGTCTGTGTCCTGCCAGAGGAGTTGCCCAGGTTCCTCCATCAGAACCTCTCCCAGTGCCATATTTCACATATACGAATAGGGAGCGAATAGGGAGTCCATGAGCCAGCCTTACTCAGTTCACCTCCTGTTCTAGCAGAAACAGTGGCTTTTCCTGACTGGCCTTCGACCCAATCTGGTTCTTGTTGTTGTATGTTTCAGCCCAGTCATAGCTCATCCATACCCACACATAGTTCACACATGGCTCAGTAGTGGCTGAGACCTAGCCTAGTCCATCCCACATCTACCCTGGTCCTCCAGAGCACAGGATGGTATTGGAGTCTAGCCCAGCTTGGTGCATCCAGTCCCAGCCCACACTTGTACCAAGGGAGACTACAGCCATATCCAGTCAGAATGCAGCCTCCATTCCAGCCCCCACGCTCCTTGGTGGGAATCTCAAGCTAGCTAGGGTGTCCCCTTAGCTCCCCAACTGGGCCTGTTCCCAGCCATAGATCACGTGCATGCCAGTGGTTGCTCTGACCCAGCTTGGCACAGCCCCTCACCTGTCCCGGCCCCTGCCCTGGATGTTGTGACTTAGCATCTCTGGTTCACGCAGACCAGTAGGTGCAAGAGCCTAGCTCAGCATGACCTGTGCTCCATCCTGATTTCTAATTTTGCTTGTGGGCTAAGGTTAGCTCAGTCCTTACTGATCCACCCCATTACATTACCAACCCACACATTAGCCAGCCATTCTTCCTAACAATTTTTAACATGTAATTGTATATAGGTATTCCTCTTTGGAATAGTAAAGCATTCTATTGATAATATAGCTTACAACTTTTTCCATTTGACTATTACAAAGATGATCTTAAGAAAAAATTTTTATGCTTTCCAAAACTACTACATTAAAAAAGGTAATCACTAAGCAGTTTACTTGTTACATTTACTCAGTTTAATAGAAGGAAATACAATATTTCAACATTTTAAAGGAATTTTAGAGATAAGCCATCTGTAGTAGAAAGTATTTTTAGAAAATTCAGGCAGACTTATAATTCTGTCAGTTGAAATTTATCAAGAGTATCTATTCTCAAGCTGTCAAATCTTGAAATACTGTTTTGCTTATTTTTAAAAGAAACTTCACAGTTTATTCAGCTGTATTAGAAAGTATCATTGTTTTCATTGTGATTCTGGAAGCTACCAGTGGAGAGTAACTCTATTACATTGATAACATTTTAATTAAGAGGTAGAACTTTACTAACACAGCTTGTTTAACATTTTGTTTCAGTGTGATGTGTAAATTATAAAAATCAGAGGAGCAGGGCAACACGTTTATTCATATTGTCGTTGTAACAACTGCCTATGGTACTGTCTTCTAGACTGTGCCAGTCTCATGAAAAAGTGTGTGCAATGCCGGGCCGTGGTGGAGCGAAGAGTGCCTTTCATCATGTGCTGTGGAGGCAAAGGTTCAGAAGATTCCACTGACGACATCAGTAAGTGAATTTTCAGAAACATTTTCTATTTTGCTTTCTTGATGTGTTTTTTTGTTGTTGTTGTTGTTTGTTTGTTTGCTTTGGAGGGGGAAGAAGTGTTTACATTTCTTCCTTTCTTTGGAAGGCAGAGTAACAAGATAAAGAGGGAGAGATTTCCCATCCGCTGGGTTACTCTCCAGGTGGCTGCAGCTAGGTCTAGCCCAGAAAAAGCCAGGAGCCTAGAGCTCCATCCGCGTTGCCCTTCTGGGTGTTGGGGGTCCAAGTAATGGAATCACTTTCTGCAGCCTTCCAAACACATTAGGAGGCTGGGATTCTTAACCTACTCTCTAATAAGGGAGGCATATGGTGAATTGCAACCACTGCACCACAGTGGTATCTCCAGTGTAGCCATTTTGGCTCAGGGAATTTGTTTTTAATCAAAACTAGACCAGAATAGGGGCAGATTAACTGGAATAAAAGAGTTTCCCTCCACGTTTGCATAGTACTTGTTTACTCATCATGGCCTTTCTTGTGTCCTGCATCTCAGATCAGTAACAGTGAGCAAATGAGTTCCTGAGGAAGGGAAGCCACAGGTGGGGGGGAGTGATATCCTCAGAGGCTTCAAAGATAAAGCAGAAGTGGTGGAAAAAGCATAAAGTACACTTGTAAATTCAGTAAAGGAAGGAAGAAGAGCCTTGGAAATCCAGAAGTCTGTGTGTAGAGTATTGCTGGGTTTAAGTTAAACAGTTGTGTAACTAGAAATCATTGTGCAAACTTGTTTTAGTTTTGAATGTTATAAGTGAAAGAGTCTAATATGAATGTTATTGGTTATCTATTATCCAAGTGTGAAAAATTGTGAAAAGCAGTAATAATTTTAGAAATGTTATGTCAAAACAATAGTAACTGAAAAGTTGTTATCTCTGTTATAGCAAGTGGGAATATTCCAGTGTTACAGAAGGACAAGGATAATACCAATGTCAACGCGGATGTGCAGAAGCTGCAGCAGCAGTTACAGGACATTAAGGAGCAGGTAAGGACCATGTCTTCATGTTAGGTCATTTTCAAGATGGCAGTTAATATTCCATAAACCAGTGTTTTCCACTGTAGAATGCTTTCTATTTTTATATCACATGTATTAGTGAATATTTGCAATAAGTAATGTCTGCTTACAAGATTTAATGATAGGGCTCCTGCCTATGGTGCTGGCATCCCAAATGGGCACTAGTTCAAGTCCCAGCTGCTCCACTTCTAGTCCCGCTCTGCCTGTGGCCTGGGAAAGCACTGAGGATGGTCCAAAGCCCATGTGGGAGACCCACATTCCATGTTGGATTGTCTTGTTTGAGTGGAGCCAGGGCTCCACTTCTGATTCCAGCTCTCTTGCTAATTTGCATCCTGGGAAGCAGCGGGTGATGCCTTAAGTCCATGGATGCTTAGTGGACCTGGATTGAACTCCAGGCTCCCTGCTTCAGCCTAGTTCAGCCCTAGCTTGTAGGCATTTGGTGAGTGAACCAACAGACAGCAGGTACCTTGTCTGTCTGTCTGCATTCCAAGTAAAATGGGGTGGGGGGAAAAGCACTACATTTTCTGAGGACTAATGGGGTATCTAATAGGGACTGATTTCTTCAAGATTATCAAGGAAACATCTGAATAACTTTCTTCAAGTTACTCCAGTTCACTTTGGAAGACAAGAATTAATCTTATTTCTTATCAAGGCTATATTAATCTTTAAGTAACTTGACACAAGCTGCACGGGTGCTAACTTTTGGAAGTGAAAATCAAATAGACTACTAAAAAATTTAATGGGAACAAACGAAACATTTCTTTACTTAGGAGTCTGAGAGGATGCAACAAATGGAGAGTCATCTCTCATCTGCTGGGCCAGTGAGCCCTGTTATGAATCCAGGCGCTCCAGTATCTGTTTTAGTGACACTGAAAAGGTGGTTTGGTTCTTTAAAGAACAAAAATACTATAATGTATTTTTAAACATGCTTGAGAAGGATTTTAAATCCTACTAAACCTTAGTATTCTCATTTCTGAAGCGGCAATGATAATAGGACTGAGATGATGTGGTAACTAGCATAGAGGGAACCAACAGCTAGTTCCATCTCTGGGGCCCTGGCTGCCCAGATAGATTGGAAACAATGTGTTCTTCTCACTCAAGAGCTGCCCGGGCCTTTGGGGAATCTGACTCAGGCTGCATAGGGCTGTTTTCTTAAAAGAGGTGATATTTGAGTATTTGTTTTAAAAATACAAAAGGTTGACTGAAACAAAAGAAAATTGGTATTACAAAGCTGTCAGGTTATAAGATGTCTTAGCATTTATGACTTTACTATTTATTACTTTACTCCTTGCCTCATATCACAGACAATGTGCCCTGTGTGTTTGGATCGTCTGAAGAACATGATCTTCCTCTGTGGCCATGGAACATGCCAGCTCTGTGGGGATCGCATGAGTGAATGTCCTATATGTCGCAAGGCTATTGAACGAAGGATTCTTTTGTATTAACGGAAAAGCGGTGTGTTTTGTTAACTAAGGGATGTCTGGTCATGAGACCTCAGTAAGCTGTTTGGCAGTTCTAATGAATTAACTTCTGAAATCAGAGTTTCTTTACTAGAGTGTAATTAAACTGCAATTAGATGAACACCACCACCAAACTACAAAGCAGTATTTGAAAGCATGTGGAGTTTTTTTGTGTGTGTTATTTTTCCTTTAAATTTGAAACATCTGATCCATGTAATTTATAGATAATTTACTTTTGGCTTCTAAGAAAATCCTTTAAGGATCTCCTGGTTTTGGTTTTGTGTGTGTGTGTTTTCCCTGGTGTGTGTTTTATAAGTTTGTTAAGACCACAGAAGACATTATTTCTTGTGCTCAGTCATGGTTTAGCTGAGTGAATTAGTGCAGGTAGGTATTCTGAAAAGTCATTCATGAAATTAAAGAGGCAAGTGAACCATTATGTAACACGTGCAGAATGCTAAAGTTGCAGGACAAGTTCCACATTGTAAAGGGGATATTAAAGGGAAATTTCTTTTCTTAAGATAATAAGAAATTATCCAGATGTTTACTTCTGAATTCCTAGAGCAAATGGAAGCATAGAACGAGAAATAGTGACTTTGTATTTGATTTACTTTGTAGCTTTAAAAGAAAAGTAGCTTTAATTTGAATTAAATTATGTGGTTCAAAATGTTAGAAATAGAAAAAAAGGAAAATAAATAATCATAGAATCATAGTGGAGAATTTAAGGGGAAAATAAGAATACTTGTTAACTGACCATTGTTATTTGCATTTCTGTTACTAATTTGCACCTGTTTGGTTCACCCAGCCTTTAAAAACCTGTCTGTAAAGGGCGCTCCCGTTTCCCTGTGGTTCATCTGAGCAGTAACATGATGGTGCCTGTTTGGGCCCCTGAGACAGTGATTGTGTTGGGTGATGGCTTGTTCAAGACAGCAATCTTTTCTTTGCTGTATCTATTAATTCTGATAGTGTTACAGTTTTACCTTTGTCAAAAAGCCTTACTTCAAGTCTTTTTCAGATAGAAAGTCTAACTGAAAAGATATCTTTATACCTGCAGATGACGATATTATACTGCCAACAATATCCAAGATATAACACATAGCTAATAAAGAGTGTCAGGGCATTTGCACAAATATGTCTGATTACCTGTAGATTTTCTGTTTTATACATTTTGACTATGACATCTCATTTCCCTTCTTTTGAGTGAGTTGGTATTGTATCTGAGGTAACTACACATAAATATTTTAAGATTTCTTGCTGCTAGATCATCAAAATGTCTGCTCTTAGTGTCTACTTGGTATATCATTCATTAGCTTACTTCCCATATGCAGTTATTTCCTATAATTCTTGTAGCTTTTTCCCATTGTGCATCTGGCTAGAAATTCCAGCTTTTCTGCAACAACAACTCATTTTAAAAGTACAGTCCCTAACACTCACCACACTGTGTTTCTGGCTGTTCAGTCGCTGCTGTCTTCCCAGTTCCAGTGAAAGCAGTGGTGAGCTTCGCCAGCTGGCTTTGTAGTCTCGGTGACTTCTTATTTCTGTTTATCTGAGTAACTGAGCATTTAGTAGAACACTAAAATATTTGTAAATTGCAGATTTGAAACTTTATATTGACTTTACACCATTATCTAGTAAGGAGCCACTGAGGCTTTTTTTTATAACTATATTTTGAACTTATAAAAAGATTGAACATGTGACTAATGGTCACATAGAGACAAACATACTTATTTTCTTGCAGATTTGAAAACAAATGATGTCGGGATTTTCTTTTTTTTCTCCCCCACCAAATCTGCTCTTGAGGACATCAGGTGGTGCAGAGGGAACACCTGGCTGACCTCTGCTGCGCCTGGCCAGTCAGTGGAGGGAGAGGCACAGCTTTTCAGACTGGTCCTCTGTTTGTCTTCTGAGCTGTGGTGGTAAAACTTAAGCTCCTAAAATGTAATACCATCTTTCAGATTAGTTCAGCTATTTTTTTCAAATTAAAAATCTAATAACTTTATACTGTAGAACTCATAAAATCGTTATAACTTTAGTACTCAGTAGTTGTGACTGCCTACTTTTTATCATTTTCAAATGTATTTTATGAATAGAAAAGATTTCTCTCTTCATGTTTTCTAGCACCTAAAATTATTTTTACTTTGTTGGGTTTGTGAGAGAGAATAGGATTACATTTGATCTTAGCCAGAAAGCTGAGAAGAAATGAAAAAGAAGGAACTCAAATGATTTACGTGATTTTCCTCCAACTCTCTGGAACTGCTACCTCTTATTCTGTGTCTCCTTGCGGTACTTCGCAGGTGTGTTTTCTCCTCATTAACTGAACCTCTTTATCCCTTGCCTCAAAGATCTTTATTTCTCTGGAATCATTAATAAATAAATGAACCACTCAACCAAACAACATTCAATCATTCATTCAAAAAAGTACTTACTAGCCTTCAGGGGCTAGGTATACAACGTTGAAAATGGCCAGCATCTTAGCGTACTCAAAACTGATTTGCGATACTATGTATTTGGAACAATTTATAGTTAAAAGGAAGGATCCAGAGGTACTGATGCTGCTTTTTCCTAATGTTTCTGAAAAGTTGTTGTTGTCACTAAATGGACCTGGATCCTCTTCTGTACCATCATCCTTCCACGTTTTCTCCTTCATTCTTCTGCGTGTCAGCTTTGTTACTCAAAACACTCAAAACTTACCCGATGGTGCTATTCTAATTGCTCACATAATTTGACGTTCTTACTGCTAATACCATATGCATACTTAATTTTTGCTGGAGGCAAGATTTTCAAGAGATAATTTTGTATTCATGTAGGAATATGATAATATTACACAAATATAATATTAGACAAATATTCAGTTTAGCTGACTGGATTATGCTTAAGATATTTGTAGTTTTAAATGTTGCAAGTTGACTAGCTGACTATTAAGGCTTAAAATGAGTAGATAATGTTGGAAATTATTTTGTTAAATTTACATTTTTGGTGGCTTTAGTGTGTAAGAACATTTTCACATGTCGAATTGCATGCTGCTTAAGATTGTCTAATTCAAATTTCTGAGCTTGCTAGTTGATTTTACGTGATTGAAATATACTATCCAGATACATGTTGCTGAATAGTTGTTCCTTGTTTATTCTGAATTATGGACTCTTTTTGGACTAGGAATTATTCACATTTATGGACTAGGAGAATTAGGAATGGGGTATGGTCAGGTCAGGACAGTAGGGTTGCTCGAGCAAGCAGGGAGGAGAAAATTTGAACTAAGAGAAAAAGAGAATCATGTGGACTTCTTCCCAGCATCAGTGGCAAGAGTATATTTAAACTTCTTTATGAAAAGGATCTTTCCACCTGTCAGTCTTTACTGCATTTTAAATGACAGTTGCTTTATAAATTTCTACACTTTAATGCAGCTTGCTTTTTTTTTTTTTTGGTAATATAAAAAGGAAAAGCACTTATCCTCCTTTGTGTAAGACGTTTTATAGTAATACTTTGTGTAAAGTGTTGAATTTTGAAATTGGGGTTGTTTTGCATTATTTTGTTGCGCTAAAAAAATCACATAAGTTACCATCTTAACTGTTTCTAAGGGTCCAGTTTGGCCATGGCAAGTACATTCACATTGTTGTGAAATAGCTTTCCAACTTGTAAAACTGAAACTCCATACCCTTTAACAACTCCCCTCCCCCACTTGTTTCCAGGGGAATAAAAATTTGTCCAAGTGTTAGTCAAGATGCACCTGAATCATTTAGCAGTTTGTGTTTGCAGGATCTAAAGTCATGGCAAACATCAGTCTCCTACAATTTGGGATAACACAACATTTCTCACTCTCCACTCCAACGACTATGCATAATCTAGTAGGTTTTAAATATCCTAAATTAGAAGGATTTGTTCTTTCATTTTGATCCAGAGGAGAGAAACACATTTGAAATATCAGAATTAGGTTAGCTTTGAATTTGGGAAGGTATAAGATTTTTCAAAAATTAAGTGTGCCTTGCTGTTCAAAATGTCAATTATGTTTTAAATCTCCTTGTAAAAGTTTCGGAGTATGTCTTTCTTTCAAAAAGGCAAATTATAATTTCACTTGCTTGAATGTTATAATAGGAATGCTTACTGATATTACTTGATAATTATATATATCCTTGGAACATTAACATATATTTAACTATAGCAGTATTAATAATTACAGTTGTACTTCTTTAAAACATTAAATCTGAGGAAACTGTTTAATGGTGTCTCATGTGTACATTGCTTTACTATAGTGAAGGGGAAAGTCTTTTATTAAGCCTCAGTTTACTGATAACTGGTTAGTAGTGGATGAAACTATAGCATAAAAATAGGAACTAGATAGTGGAACTGATGAGTTAAAATTGTAGATTGCTACATTGGCATTTTCTACCTCCTCCTTGGTCGGAGTATTACTTTTCCCAGCATTTATTCTTATTTGTAGGTAAGAGGAATTGGAACCAGAGGTTGAAATTGAGAATTTTGTTGAATTTAAGCAGTAGGCACTGAGAAGTGACTTGTCCTGTGAATTCAGTGCCTAAATCCATAACTACAAGTTACAACTGATATGTAAAAAAGTCTGAGAAAGCTACTATTGCTGAATGCTTTACCTTTTCTGTACAGTATACCAGGGTGGGTTTTTTTTTTCTTCACATAAACATAACCTCTTTCCTCCAAAAAAAAAAAAAACCAAAATGGTCTTGTAATTTTTTATAAAATAAATATGTGCCATTTTGTCTGAGATTTATAATTTCAGGAAGCTATTGAAAGTTCTGACTCAGGGCTTTTTACCAATTTAAGCAATTGTTAATTATATTTTGGAAATTCCATCCACATAATTCGTCAGTGCCTTGAAAGAATGATTGGCAACACCCTCAATCGCCATGGCAGGTGGTCAGTGGTGCACGTGTGTTACTGGTGCGCACGCTCAGAAGTCATATTGCTTTGCCATGTCATAATGATGCTTTGTGTGTGCTGGGTTTGGGTCATTCTTGAGAGGAAGTCTCCTTAGAGTTGCACTTGCTGTTTGTTTAAAAAAAAAAAAAAAACTGATTATTTATGGCCATGACACTGTTACCAGAAAAGTAATTCTTTGCTAAGCCATTATGCAGAGTCATCTAAAAGTAGCATCTGGGAAGAGAAGATAGAGCCTACAGTCTGCTATTTTAGAATGAAAGAAGGATCTGGGAAACACAGATTGTCTTCCCCTCAAAGAGAGAGAGAAAAAAAAAAGACTTATGTTCAACTGATTCCGTTTTTAAAAATACATATATTTTTAAAGGAAACCATGAATTGCATGTCATTCTTACTGCTAGTCTTGTAGACTATATGTAGAAAATTGTTTTTCTGTTTAATATGTGTGTGTCATTCTAAATGCATTGTATTTGGTAATCTCAGTTTGACTCATAGCAGTGTTTCCCTTTGTGTTTTTTCCGGAGTTATAGCTTATTGATCAATGTTGGATTAAGTTTAAAGTCTTACTTGTGAATATAGTTTCTATAATGGCAAATGATTCTTAATAGTTTTTGTTAAAAATTGCTTAGTAGCAGCTAAGTTTTTAGAAATAAATGCAAACATGAACCATTAATAAAATCTACAGTGTAATATCATACAGTGCTTTTCTCTGATCTTTGAAAGACTGTTTTTCATAGTAATATTCCTGGGTTTTGATTCTTAGGGCATTTGAAAACACATTGCAATATTAAAAAAAAAAAAAAACAGTGTTGGAGAGGAAATTCCTATGTATGGGAAGCAGGAACAGCCGCCTGGATATAAGGCCTAAACATTCCCATCTAGAAGGCTTTACATTTAAGGCACTTTGATCTCAAGGGCCAAAGAAGCTTTTTGTATCTTAACACCTCACATTCCTTTAGGATTAGGTTATAGTGTGAAAATACCAGAATGTGAATTGGATGAATTTGACATTAAATTGGCCAATCAAGGAGACTCAGCTTTTTCTATGAAAATATATTTTCTTTACAATTCAGATGTTAATTTCACTCGAAGGCAGGGGTTTGTTTTACTTTGTAAGTGTTCTGTGGCTAACTGAGCCACTGGGGGTTGTTTTGTTTCTCAAGCACACACTTGTGAGGTTACTAAGGTTGTCTAGTTCCAGTTCAGAAGCTTAAAATAAATACTTTTTTTTAAAGATTTATTTTTATTATTTTTTTATTGGAAAGGCAGATATACAGAGAGGAGAGACAGAGAGGAAGATCTTCCGTCCGATGATTCACTCCCCAAGTGAGCGCAACGGCCGATGCTATGCCAATCCGAGGCCAGGAGCCTCTTCCGGGTCTCCCACGTGGGTGCAGGGTCCCAAAGCTTTGTTCCGTCCTCGACTGCTTTCCCAGGCCACAGGCAGGGAGCTGGAAGGGAAGCGGGGCTGCCGGGATTAGAACCGGCGCCCATATGTGATCCCGGGCGTGCTAGGTGAGGACCTTAACCACTTGCGCCACCGCGCCGGGCCCAAATAAATACTTTTTAATATATAGTTTAATGTATTTTAATAGCAAACTTACAGGAACAGCACAGGAGACAGCATTAAAAACGTACTTGCGTGTAGGACAACTCAGAAAAGTATAGTGAGTGGATGGAGTCTACTGCTTAAAAATGCTACACAAACACCATTTAGTCGCCGTCAATAAGAAATTTACTTGCTTTCAAAAAATCCAAATGCTGGCATTGTCCAAAAATTTTAAAAGGTTTATTTATAATTGTTATAAAGTTGAACTGCTGAAACTTGTTCACTGGAACATTTTGACTTGCATTAATGCAAAGACGAGATGGAATGAAACGAGATCAGTAACAGAGAAGTGCCTAGAAAATGCCAGTGTGCTTGGAGACTAAATAACACAGTTCTGAATAACATACAGATCTAAGAAGTCTCAACAGAAGTTTAAAAGTATTTAAAATGAAATGACAATGAAGCATGACAGATTTGTAGGTTGAAGCAAAAGCAGTTAACTGTAGATTTTGGGAAGAAGATCTGAAATCATTCTTCTAAGCTTCCACTGTACAGGTTTAGTGGGAAAAAAATAAAGTAAATCCGAAGTTATAATGGGATACAGAATAGGAATTAGTGAAATTGAAAACAGGATTCAAAAGTTGATCCTTGGGCCTGCCGCAATAGTGTAGTGGTTAAAGTCCTCGCCTTGCCACCCAGGATCCCATATGGTCTCCGGTTCTAATCCCACCAGCCCTGCTTCCCATCCAGCTCCCTGCCTGTGGCCTGGGAGAGCAGTTGAGGAAAGCCCAAAACCTTGGAACCCTGCACGCATGTTGGAGACCCAGAAAGAGGTTCCTGGCTCTTGGTTTCAGATTGGCACAGCTCCAGCCGTTGCGCTCACCTGGGGAATGAATCATTGGACGAAAGATCTTCCTCTCTGTATATCCGCCTTTCCAATAAAAATAAATATCTAAAAAGAAGGTTGATTCTTTGAGAAGATGGGGAAAAAAAAGTGTAAACCTAAAACTAGGTAAATTTTTTAAAAGGAGTGAGTAGACGTAGATCATCAGTATCAGAGATGAAAGAGATAATGTGACTGCAGAGCTCATGGACATTAAGGAAAAAAGGAATATTATGAACAACTGTCCTGCAGATCTTACAACTTGGTGTGACGTGAAATAACTCCTTGGAAGACATATTGTACCAAAACTCACACCAAGAGAAATAGATAATCTGAATAAGCGTATTCCTAGTTTTAAAAAAAATGTACTCAACAATTAATAGCTTTTCAGAACAGAAATGATGGGACAAGATGGATTGATTTGTGAATTCTGCCAGATTTAAGGAAGAAATTACAATGTTTCTATATGATGTCTTGCAGAATCCTTTCTAACTAGTTCTGTGAGACCCATATAAACTCAAACTAGGTAAAGACATTGCAAGAAAGGAAAACTATAGGCTAACATTCCCCATAAACATTCATGTTGAAGTTCTTAGCAAATTTTATGTTTGCTAGTTGAATCTGCCAGTGTATGAAAAGATGTGTGCACTGTAACCAAATATATTTTATTCCAAATGTTTGAGGCTGGTTCAATGTTTACAAGTCAATCAATTAGCCCATTGTATCAACCAGCTAAAGGAGAAACCTCATAGGCCCATGTTAGCAGAGAAGAGAAACACTTGACAAAGTCCCCATTTGTGGGGCTGGTGGTGTGGCAGTAAAGCCCCCACCTGCAGTGCTGTCTCCTCTTATTACTGCCTACTTATTTCCACTGATCGTACAAGTCACAGCTGGTGCAATAAAGAAAAGTGTGTGTATACACATTATTCTGTTTTGTGTTACTGTAATGAAACACCTGCAGCAGGCTACTTATAAAGAAAAGAGGTTTGGGTAGCTCACAGATTGAGGCTGAAAGGTGTGGTGCTGGCTTTAGCTTGGCCCTGGTGAGGACTCCATAGTGGGTCATGTCACATGGTGGGGTCAGACCATTGCACTGAAAGGCAGAGATTGTCTGGGTCCTCATAATATGACGGCATACCCTCGTTTGGCCTAAGGACTTTCCACTGGGTCCCATCTCCTACAGGTCTTATTAAGGTGTCAGTCTTTGATTCCAGCTTAATCTATAAGTTTGAGGCAGTTTCAATAAAAAGCAAGTTATTTTTGTGGATATCGACAATCTGGTATTAAAGTTCATGTGGCAAAGTCAAAGATAATCAGCATCACCAATACTAAGAACAAATGTGGAACACTGACATGACCCAGTTTATTACTGGCTACAGAGCTAAAGTAATCAAGGCACTGATGTTGGTGAAGGAGCTCAGTGGAACCAAACAGCCCAGAAGCACATAAAGGGTGGTGTTTGTTTTGTTTTTAATAGTTCTGGAATGACTGGATATCCATATGCAAAAACACAGATCATTTTCAACCAAAAAATGTGACTCAAAATGGATCTCAATGCTAAATGTAAAATGCAGAGACATAAAAGTTCCAGGAGATATCATAGTAGAAAATCTCAGTAAATTTGGGTTTGGTTATGGGTTTTTAGATATAACATCAAACGCATGACCAATGAAAGAAAAGACTGATAAATTGGAGTTCATTAATAAAGACTTAGGGCCAGGGTTAAGGCACAACAGATTGAGCTGCTGCTTGCCATCATGACATTCCATATGAGTGCTGATTCGTGTCCCGGCTGTTCCACCTCAAATACATCTCCCTACTAACGTATTTGAGAAAGCAAGTTCTTTGGCCCCTGCCACCTGTATGGGAGACCTGGCCTGGCCCAGCCCCAGCCAGTGTGGCCATTTGGTAAGTGAATCAGATGAAGGAGCTCTCTGCCTCTCCTCTCTCTCTCTCTCTCTCTCTCTGTAACTTTGTCTTTCAAATAAATAAGTCCTTAAAATTAAATTTAACATTGTTTCATGTAAAAGACAGGGCTGGAAACAGAACTGACCCAGTAATTGCAACCACCAGCATGTGCATAGGCTGATTGGGGCAACGGACTGTGCGAGACCCTGTACTGGCAACCACACATAAGAATCAGGTCTGAGATCACTTTAGATGAAGTTTCTTTGGGGACTCCCCCCAACTTAACTGCTGATCTCAGAACCCCAACCTTGAAGAGAAGTGCAGGTTCTTTGGTCTGACTGTGGAGTGCATATGTCAAAGCTGAGCCGCCTCAGTGACTCAGAGCAGTGGACAGCATATCCAGGTGCACGTGGAGGATATGGAGTCCATTGGAGCCTGCAGAGGACACCTGGTACCACAACAGAGGACAGAAGAAGTTGATCAACTACGCTAGCCACGTGTTGGCAGTGAAAATGTGGGCAAATGGAGACACTAAGGTGGACTATGTCAGGCAGTGGATTCTGCAGAGATTTCATCATGCTTGAAATGGTGAGATTGGCAGCAATTCAGAACTGTTGATTATCAAAACCACTTGAGCAGTGCCCTCGGAGCATGCCCCATATCAGGGACCTGGGATGGGTGGGAGGCTGGGTGGGGCTTCTCCCTTTGTCTTCCTACTTCCCCCAGATACAGGAAGGAAAAAGAGAATGTGGAAATAGTGGTCTTACCCACTTTCCTGTAGCCCTTGACCCTTTGCACCCTAATCAACTATATTTAAAAAATTTAAATATAAAATGGGGCTGGCATTGGGGTACAGAGGGTTAAGCCACTGCTATGCTACCTGTATCTCCTAGCAGAATGCTGGCTGCTCTGCTTTCAATCCAGCTCCCTGCTAATGTGCCAGGGAAAGCAGTGGGAGATGGTCCTTGTATTTGGCCCCGGTTACCCACATGGAAGTCCCAAATGGGGTTACTGACTCCTGGCTTCCACCTGGCCCAGCCCTGGGGGTTCTGGTCCTTACAGCAGTGAACTGGTAGATGTAAGGTGGATCTCTCCCGCTACTCTCCCTCCTTGTAACTCTGCTTTTCAAATAAATTGTTAAAAAATGTTTTTTTATTACATTTATATTTGAAAGGCAGAGTTACAGAGAGACAAGGAAAGACAGAGATCTTAACACTTGCTGGTTCACTTCCCAAATGGCTGCAATGGCTGCAACTGGGCTAGTCTGAAGCCAGGTGGCAGGGACCTCTTCCAGATCACCCACGCAATGTAGGAGCCCAAGCACTCTGACCATCCTCCGCTGCTTGCTTTTTGAC